GGGGGGGGGGGGGGGGGGGGGGGGGCTACAATGCACCTGTATTTACATGTTTCAAGATCCAAATGAAGCCTGGCAGTCACGGACGGGAGCCCCTGGAGCAAACCCCTCCGGGTGAGTTTCTCTTTGTTTACCCACTTCGTTCCGGTTAAGAATGATCATTTTGACAGTAAAGAAATCCTAAACTTTGGGGACATTTCAGTGGTTGCCTTACCACTCTTGTGGTATATACAGTACTCTGCATACGCAAACTTGCCCCAGGTGTAAAGTTTGATGTCATGAGGCAGCAGGATGAAATCAGGCATATACATTAGGAGGAACGCCAGTCATTTACAAAAATCCATCATATGTTAATACTCAGTTGCCAACTAATCCAGGAAAAATATACTAAAGTATCTGAGAAAAACAATTTCCACAGGCATTCCCCTGTTTTCCTCTTTCAATGGTTACAAGACAAGGTTGAGTCAAAGTGCTATGGGAGTGCAGGCAGGCAAACTCTGGGTGTCTCAGAGTGCAAGGTACCTGTCTAGGGTCTGGGAACTGCTCTGAACCTTGGTATCCTCATCTGAAAAAAGGGATAATAAAACGTACCTTTAGGGGGCCAGCCTGGTGGCACAGTGGTTAAGTTCGTGCACTCAGCTTCAGCAGCCTGGGGTTCACTGGTTTGGACTCCAGGTGCAGACCTACATACACACTGCTCATCAAGCCATGCTGTGGCAGCATCCCACATACAAAATAGAGGAGGACTGGCACAGATGTTAGCTCAGGGCCTATCTTACTCACCAAAAATACAAAATAAAACCTATCTTTGGCTATAACCAAAATGACATATAGTGACAAGTGTCGGCGAGGATGTGAAGGAACAGGAATTCTTATATGCTGCCAGTGGGAATGTAAAGTGGTGCAGCCACTTTGGAAAACAGTTTGGCAGTTTCTCAAAAGAAGAAAGAGTTACCGTATGATCCAGCAATTCCTTTCCTAGGGGTATACCCTTAAGAAATGAAAATGTACATCCACAAAAAAACTTGCACACAAATGTTCATAGCAGTATTATTCTTACTCATAACAGCCAAAAAGTGGAAATAACGCAATTGTCCATCAACTGGTGAGTAGGTCAACAAAATGTGCTATATACAAATGCAATAGAATATCTATCATTCAGCCATAAAAAGGTATGGAGTGCTGATTATTTGCTGCAACAGTGACGAACCTTAACAACATGTTAAGTGAAAGATGCCAGTCACAAAATACCACCTATTGTATGATTCCATTCATATGAAATGTCCAGGATTGACCAATCTAGAGACAGAAAGTAGGTCAGCGGTTGCCTAGGGCTGGGTGAATAGAGAGAAATGGGGAGTGACTGTTAATGGGGAGGGTTTCTCTGCAGGGTAATAAATATGTTCTAAAATGGACCATGGGGATGGCTGCACAATAGTGTGAATATCCTAAAAATCACTGAATTGTACTTTAAGTGGGTGAATTACACAGTACGTGAATTATATCTCAATGGAATTTATTTTTTAAAATAAATGTATCTTGCATCATTCTTCTGAACTTCACATAATTTATGTAAGGGCTTCGCATCGTCCTGCTGAATAACTGAAATTCAATAAATGGGCACTATTATTAATGGTTATTAGTTATTAAGGCAGGCCTACCAGGAAGTGACATGGAATAGATTTGGGTCTTGGATGAGCAAAAGTTTGCTAAGATAACTTGGCTGAAGTGTAAACCAAGGTATTCTTTACAGTAATTCCTTAATTGTGTTATACTTTCTTACATATGTGTGTCTTGCGCTAGACCCTGAACTCCTAAAGGACAACGTCCACGTCTTATTTGTCTATGAATTCCCGGCACCAGGAATGGGATATTAGTGAAATAATTTAATTTAAAGTATGTACAACAGATATTACCAAGCTGTTTAAAATGCCGTAGAAGATTAGTTAACAACGTGAAAATACGAAAAATGAAAAAAGCAGTTCATGTGAAAGAGTCTGATCATTTGTGGTATGTTTTAAAAAAAAAAAAAGATGAAAGGATTTTCATGGAGATACACACAGTGGTCATCTCTAGGTGGGAGGGTTATCCGTGATTTTTATTTTCTTCTTTTTGATCTTCTGTATTTTATACATTTTCTGGAGTCTATATTACCTTCATAATAATGATGTCTGGTCACTGACAACACTGGTCTATTCTAAGTAGAGGACACAGCACCCCTCCCTCCAAACTTCGTGAAAACACATTCTCGTACCTCAGCTGCACCCCAACATCTTACAAAGCTGTGCTCCTTAAGAGTGGGTACCCCTCAGATCACATGTGCTTTTTCAAGATACAAATACCTGGGCCCTACCTGAGACCTAATGCATGAGACTCTCCTGGGGTAACATCTGGGCAGACGTCCCAGATAAAGTTTCCAGAGCTGCTCGCTTGCTCTGTCATTACTAAATTAAGAACAAACGTGAAAAACCTTGGCTCGTGGAATCTGCAAAACTTCATTAGCACTTGTCTCCAGACCTGCACTTCTGTGTCTCTCTCCTCCACATTGGCTGTGAGCTCCTGGAGGCAGGAGTTCTGTCTGATTCTTCTCCGTATCACAATGGCTGACGCATAAGCCATGCTTCCGAGGCCCTGACGGGATGGATGGCTACTTGCGTGCAAGAACAATAAACACCATTCACCTCCCTCCTTTTTCTGCCACTGTTTTATAACCTAGCTTGCTTACCTGTAAAATAATCATGTTAGGCAGGTTGGATTGTAACCCGGCCAATAAAAGTAAACAACTTTAGAAATATGTGATAACTCCAGTAGGTAGATACTCTGCTGGGAAATGACAATGGGGCACAGAGACATGGAGCGGCTTTATGCACAGGGTATTTTGAAAATGCAAAGCAAACCTCTCCGGAGCTTTTTATCCATCCTCGGCACTAGTCCAATACCACCAGGCTCTTGGCACCATCTTTAATTAATTCAGTTCTACACTGAATTCAATATTCTTCAGTAACTCCCTTTTCCAAAAATGCATTTGAGGCTTTCCGTTAACATTTTATTAATAGCTCTGCAATATTTGAGCTCTCTATAACACTAAGATGAAGGATCCAAAAATAAGAAGAACTGGAAAGAGAGGCTCAGGTCTGCCTAGGCATGCTTCGATCCTATCTGCAAAATAAGTACAGAATATGGACATATGTATACGTGGCCAATAATTTATCCAAAAATCCAGATTTTCGTGAAGTGCCTATATCTATCAGACACTCCTGTGGAATTATGCAATCAGTGACCAGTGAGGTAATCTGTAAAACTGACCACAAATTCTCTACCCCTACTTCCTTGCAACGTGATCCCGCAGCCTTCCCGTCACGGGGTCGAGTCTATTTCCTCACACCTTGCATCTTACTTGGTCCTGTGACTTTATGACAAATGCGATATGAGCAGTGGCTTTTGTTCCCCTGTGGGGGTCCGTCCCTTGCTGCATTTGGGCCCTCACACCGCCACATGAAGGAGGCTGAGCTAGCCTGCGAAACCGGAGGAAACAGGGAGCCACACCCAGGCTCCCGTCAGCAAGGCCTTCCCGGGTTATCTGGCCGCCATCTAACACCCCCCGCCCCCCGGCTGACTCTAGACGTGCAGCCAGCCCAGAAGACAAGAATCATCCGACCACAGAAGCATGAACTAAATATATGATTGTTTTAAGCCACTAAATTTGGGGGCGAGTGTTGCTAGCAGACGCTATCTGATTAAAACAGGGCGATAGCTTTACAATTCAAAATGCTACCTGGAGACAAACTCTTACTCATGGACCCATGGACTGACGCAGCACATCCTTATAAAGTCGAATCTGCGCAGCCCCAATTCTATTTACCTGGTCTGACAGACGACACGGCCACTGGAAACCTACTATGTGCCCGGAAGCTCGGGGGAAAGACCACGGTTTACTCAGGCAACATTTACTGAGCATCTGCGGGAGTGCAAAGATGATGAAATAATCACTCAGCCTCCGCCCTCAAAGTTCTCCGTCAGGGAAATGGAAAAACACAATGGTCATCAGACAATTAAAATAAAATCTGATAATTTTTATGAAGGATGGAGGCATGCTGGAGGTGGTGGGAGGAGGAGGAAGGAGAAAGAAGGAAAGGCCTCCTGGGCCGGGCACTTTAGCCAGATCTTGAAAGATAACAGGAGTTAGCCAAGAGGAGTGGCGGTGATGTTTCCAGGCAAAGGAGCCACAGAGACCTGGCTGGGATCCCATTCTAACCTCAACTTCCCTGGAATTGGAACCCAGAGCACGAACACGGGAGAGCAGCAGGCCTGAGTGGAGCCGAAGGGGCAGAGAGGAGGTGACAGCAATGGTAATGCACCCAGAGATCCTGCTGAGAAACTTGAATTTCATTTTGAGGCCACTGAAAGTTCTTAAGGTGGGGAGATGCCATGACGAGCTTTAGAAAGCTGTTTGCTCAACTTGTCAATAGTGAGGACCATGCTGAGGGACACATCGGCTGAAGGCAGGGGGACCACGTGTAAGTTGCAGCTGCACTAAATAAGCCGGGCTAAAGGGGCCCTCACACAGAGTGAGCTCCACGAGGCTGGGAGGACACAGTGACCAACACCAAATTCAAGCATACAGCCGCGGCGGGGTGAGTAGGGGGAGGTCAAAGACAAGACAATGATCGAGGGTGCCTTACTGACCTGCTAATGTCATGCGGGAGAGGCTTGGGGGTAAGAGCTGATAGCTGAGTTTTGACATATTGAGTTTGGGCGTCTATGGAAAGCCCAAATGGAAAGGTTCACAGGGTCATGGATGTGCTGCTCTGCAGAGAAGGGAGCTGAAGATGCAGGCGTGGGGCGACGGCAGAGGCATGCCCTGGGAGCCTCTGGGCTGTGCCCTTGGGAAAGTGACTTTCCTCTCTGAGTCTCCAGATCTGGGAAAGGAAGATATTAACCATTACATGACAGGGTTGTGGCGAAATTACACGTGATAACATTAAACACAGTGCTTGGTACATGGCAGGCATTCAGCTCCGCTGGCTTATTGTGAATGAGAACCGGGAAGAGCAGGTATTCGGTGAGAAAAGGCCCAGCAGGGGTGGGCTCTGGGGTGTACCAGTATTTGAGAAACAGGCTAAGGAGCAGACGAAGGAGGACTGTAATAAGTAAAATTAACGGAAGAAAATAAGCTAGCAGGTCGACGCCCCATCAGAAAGCTGCTGATGAGCACAAGCTACTCCGTCTCCTAAAGAAGTTCCTACACATTGACCAACAGTTCCTCCTCCACGATCCTACTATGCTAAGGAAAGAACTCATCTCCTAAAAATTAAGAAGAATATTTGTATAAAATGCCCGTTGAGCCTTAAATAAACAGGAAGAACACAAACAGAGAAGAGGTCCGTGAGTTGTGGTGGGTCAGAGTTGGGAGTGTGATGCAAACGTTCGACGAAACGCGGACGAAACGTACCAACTATTACTAGAGATCAGACTGTGTTATAGGAGAATTCCTGATTTTTGTAACTTCCTTAATTTATCGCAATAAATACGTATTATTCACATATACGCACCCCAAAACCCTTGCTTGAAAAAATAAATAAATGAAAGGAATTATGGAACATTTTACTGGGGGGGGAAAGGAGTACTCACCTTGTTTTCGCTGTCCCTCACGATGGGACCCACCCTATCTTTCCAGGGTTGTTTCTGATGATTCCTGCTCACACAGGCTTCCTCCAGCCAAACTGGGCTTGTGGGATTGCTTGCTTTCTACGCCCCACTCTCCGTCCTGTCTCAGACGATTCCCTCTGCCGGGAATACCTTCTTCCAGATGCTGACACCCCACCCCCAATGAGGCAGGCCTGTCTATCAAAACACCACCCATCCCACCAGTCCACCGGCCCCCCGAACCCACCTGGATCTTATCTTTAATCTCTCTTTCTGGTCAGCGACCACGGCTGGGTGCTTCCTTGAAGGCACTGTTATTTCATTTCATGCCAAAATACTCACCCTGAGGTCATTCCTGAGGCCAAGATGCAGGGGTGGGTGGCAGAGGGACGTTTCTAAACACTCTGAAATCATTGCAAAACTGTGTGTGTACGTGCTCATATGCGCATTCTTCTGGGAGAGAGGAGCTATAACTTTCACCAGATTCTCAAATCTTCCGTGACCCAAAAGAGGTCATCTCTGGGTGGGAGGGTTATCCTGGATTTTTATTTTCTTCCTTTTGATCTTCTGTATTTCATACATTTTCTGGACCCAAAAGAGGGTAAGAAACACCAAAATTCATTTAATTCTCATTTGGTCCTTTTGTCCTGTCTGCTCGGTGGTTGAATTCAACTGAATGAAGTCAGCACAGATGCTGGCGTTTACCAAGTGGAAAGGGCAAGTTTTGACAAGAAAACCCTTACCTCCTCTAGTCTGAAGGTTCTATCACAACCCACACAAGAACAAGAGTGAAAGTGGATTTATTGTATTTTTCTTTAAAACTGTGAGCCCAGCCGACCAGCGAGGCTGGGGTTGGGGATGAGCGAGGCCGTGTGCGGTCCTCCATGTCACGTGACCCACTGCTCTCTTGAGTAATAATTCCCTCAGACTCGTCGTACCTCATTTCCTATTTATGCAACATGGAAAATAACTCTTGCCCCTTATCTACCAAACGGGGAGGTTGTGAGGGAAACAGATGACACAGAGAACGCTTCTGGAACACTTCCTTAGGCAGAGGCTTCACAAATCTTCTCAGCAGAGGGGCCTGTGGCCGCAGCGCTGTCCGGGCGTCCCGAGGAGCTGCCTGCCTTCAGGTCGAGAAGATTTCCAAACGCACCCAGACTTGGCCTCGACGGAAGAAGAAAACCTGGGGCTGGAATGCGCCCTGACCACACTCCAGAGCAGCATTTCTCCACATCTAACCCAGATTCCCATTTGATAAGCACTGGGAATCTCCCTCCCTCCTTAAATTTTGTATTATGAAAACAAGGGTTTATTTTTTTTCCCCCCTTTTCAAAGTGCACGATTCCATAATAAAGACTACTGGGCAATAAAAAGGAATGAACTCTGGATTTTCAACAGAATGGAGGAATCCCAAGCGCTTTGGCGGAAAGAAGCCAAAAAGAGTACAGGGCGCATGATGGCGTTCACACGAAATTCTAGAGAAGCGGATGATGCATTGTGACAGACAGGAGATGAGCAGTTGCTGGGGCTGAGGCGTGGGGGCCCCAGGGAACTTTGGGGGAGGGGTGATAGAAATGTTCGTATCCTCATTCATTACCTGTGATGTTTGCTCAGGGCACACATATGTCAAAACTTACCACATGTGTGCACTTATTGTACATGAATTTACACCTCAATAAAGCTGTTTTCCAAAATTCTACTATACCATTGAATTTTTTCAAGGAAGTTTAACCCTGTCCACCCTGGCCCCATAAAAATTGTTCGAAAAAGTGAGCTTACCCACCACCTGAGTCAACAGGACTCAGCACAGGAAGCAAGCACTTAACAGTCAGTACTCCTCATTTCCACAGGGGCCTGGGGGTCTCACCCCAGCACTGTTCTGTTCCCTCCCTGGAGATGACCGCCTGCTTCTTTCTCCTCCTCTCCACTCTTCTTTCCAGAGGCAGCTCAGGAATCTCCAGAAGGCGCCCTGAAGCTGGGCTGGATCCCCCGCATGGGTTCCTGTAGCTCCTGGGAGTGTTTCTAGCCTACTGATTTTCACCGTTTAGGCTTCCTGTCTCCCCCATGAGACCGGACACCCAAAAGGGCTCTGAACCTTTCTTTGTACCTTGAATGCCCCCTGGCAGCCTTGTGAAGCCTTCTCAGAACAAGGTAAAACACACAGGCATGTGCAGAAAACGTCGTGAAGTACAGTTTTCAAACCATTAAAACATACGTTTGACGTAACGACACACGTGCCTTTTTAGTGATGTCTTAAATGACAAGATGTAGTGGTAGGGCAAATAATTCCCAGTATTTCAAAGTAGTGATACGTATGCACCATATTTCAAGAGAGCTGCAAACAGCTGTAATACGATATGAAAATACGTGTGATTTCCTGGTGACGGTCACAGGTACAGCGAACCCCGCTGTGGTTTCCCACTGCCATCCACCTCTGAAGGAAACCGACCCTGCACTTGGAGGTTACTGAAAACGTAGTCTTTTCTCCATCCGAGTTCACAAAACCCCTGAATTCCACCCAAGGACAAGGACCCATGCACGCCTGGCAAAGAGCTACGATTTGGAGAGGCCGTGGACTATTGATCTTTGTGTTTGTGATGGTCTTGTCGTACAACGGGAGAACTTAACATCCAGCTACAAAACCCTGTAAAAATAACAAGGACAATATTAAGTGTGAACACAAAAACAAAGACAAATAATTTCTCCTGCTAATAGTTGTGATCATTACTACTAGTATGCTTACAACAAAGTATTTCCTGGGAAGGTGCTCACGGGCTGCCGAGGTAGCCTCAAATGCAGCTACCTGACCCACATCTGCCCCGCCCGGACACCTTATCACACACTTCGCAATTCTCCATGCATGAACACGAAGCCACGGAAAGAGACTGTGTAAAGACGGAGGATTTCGGGGAGGAAGTGAATGCTCTCACCGTGACCTCACCCCGTCCAATGTGACCTTCAAATAACCTTGTAGCTCTGGATCCATGGAGAAGGTAAGAAACGCCCTTCACTCAGACTTTTTCCTCCCATTGCAGCAGCGAATAACGCAAGATGCTTTAGTCCCACCGCCTCTCTCTGAGTATTACTACAGACTTCCTTTCTTCTCTTTTTGTTGCTGCAGCTCTTGTTGAGAGCGTTTCATAAGAGTGTAAAGATAATGAAATAGGTTCGAGCGAGCTGGGGTAACAATGAAACACCTGGCGGGCGGGGGGGGGGATCCTGCTCCCTGTTCACAGGCCCTCTGTGGTGGAGGCTGCACCCTTGACCGTGCACCCCGGGCCCCAGTGGGCCTGTGCATGCTCAGCCCGGTCTCCTTCCGGGCCAGAGAAAAAGACGGCAGCTCCTAGGCCCCCCACCCGTGAGCCGCTCCCTTTAGCATTCGAGGGGACTGATGTCAACTCCCGGCATAACTCAAATGAACTAAGGTGAGGGGAAAATGTTTACCTTCAAATCTCTTGTCACTCCCATCCAAGACATGCTGGAGCTGCGCTCACCCTAAATCAGTCAAGCGCAAAAGAATGCTGAGCCCGTGTGCCGATCCACCCACATGGGTATCCCACTGTGGCCCAAACATCTGCAACCTTAAAAATGAGCTGTGGAGAGATAAGCAGTTTGGGAAACGGAGTGTCGGAAGATAGTGGCTCATGGCCTGAACGAGAACTGCAGGGTGACGACATGGGTAGCTCGCTGGCAGGCCCACCATCCTCAAGCAAGCCAAAGGCACCTCTCTGGCTGCCCCTGCCTCAGCCAAGGCCAGCTGACCTGCAGGACATTGTGCACACTGCACAAATGAGCCTCTCCGTTCGCCCTGCCCTCTCGCTCACCGGCTTCTTACCCTTTGTCTACAAGCATGTTCCAGTTGATCGCATCTTTACAGCGACAACCGCCTTTTTACACCACTTCTCCCAAAAGTTACCAAATGGCTGCCTGTTATCTCCGCTCTCACTTCTTCAGAGAGCAGCTCGCAGTGGGTGCCTTCACTTCCTCCCTCTGAGCCTCCCCCCTGACCTCTCTCAGCTGTTTCCAGCCACCAGTCTCTGCATTGGACTGCAATTAATATATTCAAACGATGGTGCCAAAGTCAATGACCTCAACATTGCCCACTGGACCCAGTGGGTGGGGGGCTTTGAGTCCTCGGCTGGCGTGATCCCGGGTGACGCCGGACGTCCCGTCCACCTGGGAACACTTCTCCCTGGTTCTCCTCCCACCTCGGCTTGTCTCCTGCATTTTCCTTCAATGCTGGTATTCCTAATTTTCCTTCTTAAGTCCCCTTGTCTCACTCAGTCTAACCATTCTCTTTAGGAGAGCTAGTCCATTGGGCTTCAAGGTTTTTTTGCTCAGGAATCTCCTACAACAAAACCTACGTATCCCTATGAGATTTCTAATTTGACATCCACATTTTTTTTTTTTTATCCCAAGTTTAAATGGTTGCAAAGAATCTTGTTTATAGTGTTTCGGACATGCACAAGAACTTCTCTAAGAGTCAGAATCATTCTTATCTCTGTTTTAACTCCTATTTCCATTCCACTTAGCCCACAGATCTTTTAACAGATTTACTGAGCTATAAGTCACATATCATCCAATTCATCCATTTCAAGCGTACAATTTAATGCATTTTAGCATATTCAGTTATGCCACCATCACCACAATCAACTTAAACATTTTCCTCACCGCAAAAGAAACCCTGTACCCATTAGCAGTCACTCCCCATTCCCTGTTCCCCTACACGGTCCTAAGCAACCACTAATCTCCTTTCCATCTATCGATTTGCCCATTCTGGCCATTTCCTACAAGTGGAATCACGCGGGATGTAATCTTCTGTGCCTGGCTTCTTTCACTCGGCACGTTTTCAAGGTTCATCCATTTCACAGCGTGTATCAGCATGCATCCCTTTTTATCGTCCAACAATGTCCCACCATATGGACACACCACATTTTGATTATCCGTTCCTCAGCTGCTGGACGTTTAGGTTGCTTCCGCTTTTTGGCTGTTACAAATAAGGCAGCAGTGAATGCTCATATGCAGTTTTTGTGTTATCTACAGATTTTAAACCAAATTTGTTTTCATGCTTCAGAATCTGTTCTCAACAACATTTTCATACATCTCACTCACAAACTATGCACATGAATTAAAAATTAAGGTCAAAGTTTCTATGACCAGAATCCACCAACTACACAAAAGGTCCTTCTGGGTTGAGTGGCAGTAAATTCTGGTTGCTAGTAGTGCACATTCATGAAAGCATCACAAACTTTGACAATTATTAAACACAAAAAAGTGAAATTTTATTGGAAGTATACCCCTTAATGAGATGAACTGGGTTTATTTTCCAATCATTAGTTCATGCATCTGTGGTTGCCTTATCATTACAATGAAACGGTCTGGTTTCGTTGCCTCACTCCTTTTCTGTCTAGCGATGCAATCACTGAGAAACTCTTTTCATAAACAAGCGAAGGAATGGAAGTATTTTATTTACAGCAACGTCTCTCCAATCTTTGAAATCCGTGCAAGTCATAGCGCCCAGATCACTTTGCAATCTATCATCAAAAATTATGTTTCGGTCTCCTTCCAAAAGTGACGAAAGCAGACAGCCCGGGCCACCAGCCCTGTGAAAGGAAGTCACCCCACCCCGAGTGACTTTCTCAGACCTGTGACAGGTTGAGGACAGCCCCTCTGGAGCCCAGGAGGGTTTCACAGACCCCAAAAACACACCACAGTGAGACGACAGAGGGCAAGAGTGTGTCTTTTTCCTGTAAAGTGGGAGATGGACGTCTTCCGAGGGGGATTCACGTCAGAAGGTGCATACGGATGATAAATGTCTGAAAACTGCATCCCTCACCCAGACTGGTCCATTTACTTCAACTGCTTGACTCTCGGCCCCACAACTGCGGCTCGGCTCTCACTGAGCCCAGGCCATGCGGCCTGCAGTGTGTGCCCTGGCCAGCCCTCAGGCCCTCGTGAGCCCCACACTGAGCTCACGTCTCCCAAATCAACCTCCTCACATCCCCGGCATCCTCGTCCACTCTGTTCACCACACCACCGCCAGGTCAACATGCTAACGAAGCAGATCCCAAGAGTCACTGTCCCACGGGAAATCCTTCATTGGTGCCCCAAATCTTCCTTGGCCCTTTGTGTGTAAGCACCTCCCCTGAGAGATCCTGCAGAGAAACGACATGAGCTCTCAGCCTCTGATCCTCTGACACTCGGTTAAGAAGAGCCAGACCTCCAGGAGACAGGACCGGTTAGCAGTTAAAAGGATGGACTCTGGAATAGGACTGCCTGGGTTAAAGGCAGTTACTCAAAGAGTAACCCTGAGCGAAATCTTTGACCTTACTGAGTCCCAGTTTCCTCATCCGCGGAGGATAAAAACACCATCTTTCGTAAAGGGTAGGCGTAAAGATTAAATGATGAATTGTATGTGATGGGCTTAGCACAGTGCTGACACATGATGGAGCAGAGTAAGACCTCAATAAATCCTGGTCGCCACCATGGTGAGACAAATGCCCCAGGTCTGAAGCTGAGTGTCCAAGCCCACAAGAAGTTGGGGGAGCCCATTTTCCAGCCTCCCATCTGGGCTCTCCCCTCCTCTTCCTCGCTCAAGTTCCCCATGCCACACTACTTGCCATCCTCGCCTCCTCTCTCCCAAATGAGGCTTTCACACCTCCAGGTCTTTGCATTCTCTCTCCCTCTCACCCAGAATTCTTTCCCTACCAGGTGCCCCGGGAATGCCGTCTTGCAAGAGCCTCGCTGGCTGCCGTGTCTCAAGTCTCCTCTGCTGATTCGTCTTCTTTTTCAGAACTCTCAATGTTGGAGCTCCCCAAAGCGGAGTCCTTGCACCCCTTCTCTCCTCTATCGACACCCCCTTTACGATCTCTTTAAGTCTCCAGGCTTTGAATATTTATATGCTGACAACCTCCAAATTTGTCTCATCAGATCAGACCTCTCTCTTTCTACTTGTTGACCTTCATCTGGATATCGAGGGGACATCTCACACTTAACATGGACAAAAATGAACTCAGTCTGCCCCCCCCAAATCTGTTCCATCTGCATATCTTCCCCCATCCCAGGCATTGAAAAATTCCATCCTTCCAGTTGCTCATGCCGATGACCCTGGAGTCACCCTTGACTTCTCCCTCGCATTCCAGATCCAACCTCGCGATAAATCCTGTTGGTTCTACCTTCAGAATATATCCACAATCTGACCACTTCTTACCCACTGTGCTATCATGGACCTGAGGTCAGAACCATCATCCTCTCCTGCCTGGATTTCTGCAATGGCTCCTAACTGGTCTCCTGCTTCGAACCTGCCCCCATGGGTCTGCTCTCAAGACAGCCATCACAGTGATCTTTTTTAAACCTCAGTCCCATCACATCCTCCTCTGCTCAAAACCCAGCAATGGCTCCATGTTCCTCCGGGGGTGGAATCCAGAGTCCTTCAGATGGTGACCAACAGCCTGACCCCCCTAGCTCTCTGACCTCACCTTCTCCATCTTGCCCCTTACTCACTCTGGTCCAGCCACACCAACTTCCTCGCTGTTCCTAAATCTTGCCAGGAGGCAATTTCCTGTTTTGCCTTAGCTGTTTCCTCTGCCTGGAAACCTCTTCCACCAAGACCCCCACGCGGCTAACTCACCCAGCAACTTCAAA